TTATTGAAGATATATGTAAGTGCTATTTATCTACCGTCTCCACCAGGTGTGTATAGATGACGCACAGGTTGTACATGTGACGCAAATAACGCAGATAATGACGCAATTGATGTCGTGGTGTGTGAGCGTGACCTGGGGGGTGAGAACAGGTCACGTATCAATGACCTGGTTTCTCTCCTACACACGACACGGGTCAAGTGAGGTGAAAATAAAAGAATATTGCTTTATAGTTTGACTCTAACCTAACACTAACCTAACCTAACCTAACACAAACCTAACTCTAACCTAACACTAACCTAACTCTAACCTAACACTAACCTAACCCCATGACCCCAGCTGTGACCTGTTAGATATAGAAAGACCAAACCTGATTATATCTGACCTTGATTTATGATGTATCTAGATCAGACGCGGGCTCTGTCTGTCTGTCTGTCTGTGAGACCTTGTTATCTAAAGTAAACAATGCCTTATATATCTTTGTCTGTGAAGCTGTGACTGTCTGTCTGTCTGTCTCATGTACACACATAAAGAACATAAGAAACTAAGGAGTCTGCAATAGGCCGGTTGGTCTGTGCATGGCAGCTCCTGTCGAGAGTTACTACCACTCTCTATCATCCATGAATCTATCTAGCCTCCTTTTAAAACTGTCCAGCGTTCCAGCACTTACTACAAAGTTGGTAAGCTTGTTCCACTCGTCCACCACCCTATTTGTGAACCAGTTCCTTCCTATCTCCCTCCTAAACCTAAACTTATCCAACTTGAATCCGTTGTTCCGAGTCCTATCCTGCTCGGATATTATAAGAACTTTATCTATATCCCCTTTATTGATTCCTTTCACCCACTTAAATACTTCTATCATATCTCCCCGCACTCTTCGTCTTTCTAGGGAATGTAAGTTTAGTTTCTTTAACCTATCCTGATATGGAAGGTTTCTAAGTCCCGGAATCATTTTCGTCATTCTTCGCTGCACCGACTCTAGTGAATTTATATCCTTTCTATAATAGGGGCACCAGAACTGAACCGCATAATCGAGGTGCGGCCTGACTAGCGCCGCAAAATATAGTTATACACACAAGGCTACAGACACTACCACACACACACACACGCACGCACGCACACACGCACGCACACACGCACGCACGCACGCGCACACACACACACACACACACACACACACACACACACACAGTGTTTCTCCTTCCCCAAAATTCCAAAATTCTTAGACAATTTATTCCAAACTAAAATATATTAAATGTATGGGAGAATTTGAGGTTACTTAAAGGATGATAGGGAGAGTTGGTTAGGCTAGACGGTGTGGGTATGAGATGTGGGTATTGTGTTCCTGGTGGTATTTCCTGTTTGACGAGAGGGTATTACACACACACACACCCCACACTTCACATACACTCTACACAATAATACTTATTCCCCAATTTCCTTTGACGTCAACCAAACCCCCATCAACAAGAAAAAACAGTTAAACTCTCAACCAAATCAACCCATTTAAACCCTCTTTTATTTTCACAAACCTAACCTCAACAACCATGGTTTAACTCATCCATTAAACCACAAAAACAACTTGGGAATTCGATTTAACGAAGCCTAGATAGTCTTGTGAGGTCATGGTTCGAATTAACAAGGTTGGGAAGGTGTTGTGACATCATGGCATTCTTACCTGGGATGGGAGATGTATCGGACCTTCTCAGTTTTCCCAAGGAAGTATAAACACGTAAACTAAACATTGAAACAAAAGAGCATCGACCAGCTGTTTCTATAAATGTCTTGACCCCCGCTTAGTGTTGGGTGTCAAGTGCATTTTAATATCATGAATGGGATGGAGTTGGTCATATGTTCCACGATCCGAAACCTTACCTCTGTCCTCGACTTGGTCTTCGTTAAATACCCACCCTTTCAACTATTATTCACAAAAACCCCTGACTTAACTATTTATATACATTGAGAGATATATAAAATCCCTCGATCGGATGGTGTATAGATGTATTAATTCATAAATGAGATGGAAGCCAGAGTCAAATAAACGAACAAGATGTGGTGGTAGCCTCCAGTCCACTCCACACGCACCGCCTTAACTCAGTCTCATTATTGCCAACGTTGGTAGAGGGTGTTGGGGGGGAAGAGTATCCAGCTGTATCCATCAGTATCCATCCGTATCCACCTATCTCGAGGCGTGACAGAGGAAAGAGGAACCTAGAAAACGACATGATATACAGGACAGATAGTGAACATCCCCATCAACGTGTTTAAATGACAGTAGGGAAGGCAGTGTTGAAGTATGTGGCGGAGAAAAATTTATATTGTGACTTAAAACTGGTTCTGGTATCTGTGTGGTGTAGCCCAGAACGCCCCCATCCTGCCCTCCTGCTCTCAAGGTATATCTGTGGCCCTTTCAAGCATGTCTGTGGCCCTGTCGAGTATATCCGTGGCCCTGTCAGGTATATTTGTGGCCCTGTCAGGTATATGTGTGGTCCTTAAGTATATT